TAGTTCACCTATAATCAAAGAGCATTCCTAACCCCACCGATAGAATTGGGCCAGACTTCCCATACAGAACCCCCATGTCCAACAGAAAATACTGTGTTTTCTAACGGTCTTTGGCGACCCCTCTGACATCCCCTCGTGACCCCCAGGTTGAGACACACCAATGTAGAACAAAAGAGACATCACACTGGAGAATGAATCAGTTTCACATGGCTCAATGCTATGGAATCATGGGAGTTGTAGTTTAGTGAAGCTATCATTTTTGGGAGGAGAAAGCTGAAGACCTTGTAAAACGAAAACTCCCTTGATTTCCTAGCATTGTGCCAGAACAGTTAAACTGGTGTCAAACTGCCATTATTCTACAATGTAGATGCTGATGGGCACTAACTGCAGCCTGAAAGTGAGATCAAGAAATTTAGCTTCTTTATCCACCTTGTAATTAGATGGCGAGTTAAGATTTGGCTGCTTTCAAATGAAGTCCAAAGAAAAGTTCCATTTATACTCAAACATTAATACTACATTTTACCTGAAATCTTTCTTTTCACTTTCCCTTTATAGCACACAGAAGCTCTGACTTCCTTTTAAAATTGCTAGGAGAGTATGCACACAAAATGGCATTACAACAGAGCAAGACTTTTTTTCACAACTCCTGAGATATTTCCTTGTGACCACAGTTATATAGGTATATAAAATAGGTATAAAAACCAAGCATTTACTGATAATTAACCACTTTAAAGTGCTAGACTGGCTGATTTCCCCTCTTATAAAGTACAGCTAAAGCATTTTCTGTAGAGTCTACTATAAACACTATCTGTTAGTTGTTGCTAACAGATTTGTGGGAAAGTCTGGGTGGTATTCAGAAACCTTTTATTATTGCAAAAATTTCCATGAGCCTAACATTGAGCTATGTAGATCCCCGTTTAAGAAACAGTGCTATAGAGCGCCAAGTAGCATTTTCAAAATTCTGATAATAGTGTACCCACTGAATGGTCAAAATTAAATCAGCTCTCTATAATCTAACCCATTTTGTGGTGGAGTGGGTGGAATGTTGAACGGACTTTTTGGCCATGAAAAGTTACAGATTTGGGTATTTATAAAAGAAGACAAAATAGATTTTGAAATAGCCAACTGAGGGATTTATTAGTGTAATGACAAGGAGAAATTTTTGTTAGATGCTAGTTCCTTTTGGTGTGGTTCTGGAAGTCATGGGAAGTGGTTCACGGGTGGGAATGGGGAGGTGGCGGGACAGGGAAAATAATACTTGCATTTTGATTATTGAATCTTGTAGATTGTATGTTTTTTTTTCTCACTCATAGATCACAATAAAAATTTATACCAAAAAAAGTTCACCTTGGACTTGGCTTCTATCTGTGTATGTCTGAATAAGAGTAGACTACAAGGCTAATACCATTGTTGTCTAGATATCTTGACTCAATAAATAATAATGTTTAAATTTTTTAAGTGATAGAAAAAATACCCCAGTATTTGCATAGTTAAAGAAGCAAGGTGTAAAAATGTCGAACCCCAAGTTTCCATGTTGATCAGGCTACAAGAGGACTATTTCAGTGTCCAAGGCATAACCCTCTTCAATCCAGCTCCCTAAAAACTGTTATCCAGAAGCAAAATCGTTCTGACCCTAAGAAGAGAATACAGTCCACCCTCTGTATCCATAGTTGCTGTATCCATGGATTCAACCATCCCCAGCTTGAAAATATTGTACAATTCGACATCACTTGATATGCCAGGTCTCAATGCTATGAGATCATGGGAGGTGTAGTTTGGTGGATCCCAAAACTACACCTCCCACAATTCCATAGCATTGAACCATGGCCATGGCAGTTCAAGTGATGTTAAACTGCACTGATTCTATAGTGGAGATGCACCCTGAGTTAGCAAATGGGTATGAACCCTTCTTTCAACTCAAAAGAAGGACATGTGGACAGGACGCAGGGTGCTTCCAGACAGCATCAAAATGCGGATTTAATAGGTAGGACAAAAATACCCAGGATCTGAGAGCTGGTCTGCACACAGACTTGTTGGTCCCAGGATTGTGCCTGAGATGGCCAGACTTGCTGCTTTGTTCTGGGATTTCAAAGCCTATAAGATGGCCACTGCAGGACGTCCGCTGGAAATTTTGGCTTAAAAAAACAACAACCTTTAAATGGCAGATGCTAATATGTGCATTGTTTGTATGAGTCTTGTTCCTGGGTCATACATATCTGTTTCTCATTGCTTTTATCCTGAAAAGATGGCAAAAGTTGACTGCAGGGTGAAAGCTTTGTTCTGGCAAGAGGAACTTCATCCTCCACACATTTAATTAAGTTTGTGACAAACAAAGTTTGTGGAGTAGAACCACTACTTCAGTCAGAACTACATTAGTAAAGAGGAACTGACACTTTTAAGCAAGGAACAGAACTTCATTATTATTATCATTCAGAGGTTGCATGGCCATCTCTCCAGAGAGGTCTGGTTGTGCACTTGTGCTTGGGAACAGCAGGGTGATGTTCCTTGGTTATGCATATTTGTTCCTCATTACTTTTATCATAAAGACATAGGGAAAGCTGATTACATGGCAAGACATTTGTGTGTTTAATGAAGTCAGAAACTTCATTAAACGTGTGGAGGACGAAGTTTCTCTTGCCAGGATAAAGTTTTTGCACTGTTGCCATGTTTTTAGGATACAACCAGTCAGGAACTGACATGTATAATCTAGGAACAAATCAACACAAAAAATTGTATTTTTCGAGTGTAAGGACATACAGGCATTCAAATATCTGTAATTTCTGGCCAGAACTGGGATATTCCCGCAATGGAGGGAATAGTTTTTAGTGCTTTGTAGTAATTCCTTCCGTGTTTCAGGGGACGTCATTTGGCCACCCTCTATTTAGAACTGGGAGCTCCTGGAATAAAGGTACTGTGTGGATAGGCACACAGTCTACAATGATGAACAGAAGATATAGCTGGGAGATACAGTCAGGGGAGGCAAATTGAAACATACACGTGCAATGTCAGCTACTTGTGTGGACTCAGTTTGTAGTTTAGGGAAACGTTTTGTACTAGTTTAACGTATTGGTGATCTACATGAGGAAACAGGAAAAAGCAAAACAGTGCATTGTGAAGTTTGTATAAGGAAGGATTTACAGCATTCAGTAATATTGCTAGTGTTTGTAGTGAATGGTACCAATGCAACGACTATAGGCGTGCCAAACTATATTCAGAAAATATCCACACACACATACACAATTGTGGAAGGACACAATCTTGTCCCTCTCCCTTGATCAACTTTTCATTGGTGAAAGATGAGAAAACTACACCCACTCCTTACTTATGCAGCTGAGAGGGGCTGTGTTTAATTTTAGCAGTGTGACTACTCAAGGTCAGAAATTGGATATGTTATACCCCACTCCCGGCCACCATGACCAGTGGCTATGTGGCTGAGGACAATATAAATTGTAGTCCCCCAAAATAACATTTCCAAATTATTCTGGGAGCGGGAGAGAAGAGAAATAGAAAGACTCTTCTATAGTAGAAGCTATAGTAAACATTCTCATTTACACTGGAGCCATTAATAGTACAGACTGTTGTTATAGCAGAAGCAATAGCCATAACACCATGTAACACAATTTCTGGGTTATAAATGTCGTTTCCTAATAGGTTCTGTCATAAAAACGTAGAGTCTCAATCAATTCAATACAGTTTACGACAGCCACAAAAATGAAGTTTCTAGAGTATAACAACTACTTTCAAAATAAGTACCACACAATTAAACAGAAAATAAATAACACTTTCAAACCAGGAACAGAAAAGATTTCAAATTTTGTTACATAGTATAATATTAGCAGTTATGGATCCCAGGGCAAAGGTCTAATTGCTCTATGAATGGGCTGCTTCTGCTAAACTTAGCATCAGTATGGCCACGGTCAAAGGAGAGTCCTATATCTCCGCTCAAAAAGCAACAACAAGAAACATACCACCCATAATTTTATAACAAGCAATTTTGGAATGTAGAGTTTAATTTTGCTTCTTTGGCTCACGAATACACACACACAGTGTTGTCTAAGAACCAGAGAATATGTTAGGATACAATCAGCAATATCTCACCAAAAGGGTTTCTTGGATGACAGAAGAGGAAAACATATATATTGCAGTGAAAATCCTGCTGAATTATTCAAATGGAAATAATGTATTTTATGCTTAATACATTAATAAAGTATAGCTAAACTCATACTAAGCTATGGGAGGCGGGAGAGTTTTTATGGTCCTCAGTATTGCCTTATGCACTAAAAAACATTAAAATGCCAGTAAGCAATCAAATATGTGAGCACATTTATAAACTAGTGAGAAAACTTGAGAAATTATGAATACATGGGGAAAGATTTCTATCTCATTAATAACAAAGCAAGGAAAGAAAATAATGCTTTCTGCACATGTAAAGGAATACAAAACCTTATCCATAGATTTCAATTTTAATGACTAAATATGAATATGCTACATTTCCTGAACCCTCTGGAAAAAAGAGGGTTCAGGAAATGTAGCTAAAAGATTTATGAAACTTTGAAGCACGTTCATTGTTGGCCCAACTTTTCAAAACATTTTAAAAGCTGCATATGTTGAATGCCAGGTATGAGTTATAGTAAATAATGTTTTCGAATGTGAAAGCAATTATATTATGAGAAATCAAAAGCAGTTCAACTGTGTAGTAAATGAACAGGACTGTTTTTGAAAATATCTAAAGCAGTTCCTCAAACCGTGCTCCTCCAGGTGTTTTGGACTTCAGCTACCAGAAATCCCAGCCCATTTACCAGCTGTTAGGAATTGTGGGAGCGGAGTCCAAAACATCTGGAGGAGCACAGTTTGAGAAACTGTGCATTAAAGTATCAAACACAATAACTCAAAGTAATTTCTATTTAAATCAAGCGCAGTGTGGTGCCCCTGTCAACTGAAGCATTTCATCCTACAAAGTTTCCACCAGCAGATTACCCAGAAGGAAGTTGTGTTGTTACCTGATAGGTGATGTGAACAAAAGGTGGTTCTTGAGAAGATGGGTAGGCGACCGATAATTTGTTCCCATTTTTAGTGAATTCTGTTATTTCCAGAAGTCGCAGTTGCAAGTCATTAAAACTTCCACACAGTCGTTCCAGATTTCTGGATATCTGACACGCCCCCTTTTCACTGGCCAAAGTGTTGTTTTTCGGAGAATTTAGAGTTTCTTGTATCACTTTAGGGGAAACACATCGATGGGAAAACCTAGCAGATGTTCCAAGACCAAAGAGGGCTACTGATCGGTTTACTGGCTCGGTATCCAATGTTTCTAGAGCAATGGTTGGATCTGCCAAGGCTCTTCTTTCGTCAAAATCACTCATGCTGGATGATGAACTTTGTTCATAACTGGGACTCTTCAGTTCTTCCAACATACGCCTTCTTCCACTAGAAGACTGGATAATAGTGCTCCCTGGTATTAGGAGCTCCCGGCCTACAACATGATTCTCTGATATGAGATTCTCAAAATATTTTCTTTTCCCAGGTAGGTTCACTGACGACTCAACACTAAAAGGAAGACTTTGAGGAGTATTAGATTTGGCTGAAGATTCTTCTTCAAATGATAATTCTTTGATCATTAGGCGGATGATATATCTGTCTGAATTAGATGATGGAATAAGTGCAGGGTCAGTGAACTTTTGCTTGCCAATCAAAATCAATAAGAGATTATCCGTCAAAAAGGTTAGACCTTTGGGTCGTTCACTTTTCTCTAGCTGGATTTGTTGGATGTTGGGCATGCAGAAGGAGGTTACAGAATAGACCAAAACAATGTTACAAGTATTCGAGGCGATTGCCACAGTTTGCGCTTTAAGGTCAAAGGCAATTATATCCGGGACCAAAATACCGGGAATACTGACTTTCCTGGTTGTGGTTACTTTACCTTCAAAAGTCACTAAAATCAAGTGGGATGAATCTTGTCCAGTTCCGGGAGTATAGTCCTTCCTTCTCAAAGTAATCAGAGGGCTGGGATCAGATCTCCGATGGTTTGCAAGGATATGTGTTAAATCAACCGGGCCTGATGAGGATGACGCCACTGACTCAATTGTTGCCGATTTGTCAGATTCAATGGACTTTCTCCTCAAATCCATAGAATATTCCTCATCCCCAAGTACCAATGTAGACTGTGATGTGACAGACCCCGTTTCAGTACCTACTGGCAACTCAAATGTAATACCTGCATTTAGGCCACATATCTTATCCAGAGGAAGCTCAGTAGCCACAGCAATCTGGAAATCCACAGTGGCTTCAATAGCACAGATATAGCTCCCAACATCAAATATCGGGCAAAAGGAACATGCACTTAATGTCTTCCTGGCATCGTCCCATATATAGGAATGAAGAGCGGTGCTTATGGCAACAACCAAGCGACTGCCATCTTTGGTCCAGCAGGCACAATGAATGAGACCACTGCTTTTGATATCGGCTTTAACCCTAGAGTTGTCTGAACGAACAGCGTACAAAACAGAAGCATCCCTTTTGGTAAGCACAGATAAAATGTCCCTCTTGGGATGCCACACGCAGCCCTGAGGAAGCAATTGGAATGGCTCACCAACCTCGCAGGTCTGAGAAACCACGAGTTTGTTCTTTTCTGCAGCACTGTGGCTCAGCTGCCAGACACTCACATGTTTCTTGTGCTGAACTGCAAGCAGCGCCGGTGTGTTGGCAGAGTGGTGCGGGCTCCAGTACAGCCCGTGGACATGTTCAAACTGGCCAATGACAGTTGAGTCTCCAAACTTCAGCTCCTTATTGTGATAGTGCAACGCCGTCAGGGCCACTTGCTTGCCATCCGTCCACGCGATCCCATGCATTGGGTGAATGGCTTGATATAAAGCATTTAGGCCACTTCTCAGAAGTTTGGCTTTTCCTAATTCCATTCTTTTATTCAATGCCTTGCGCTCCAAAACACAAGCTCCAAAGGACTCATCAGATCCAACTGGAGAGAAGAAATGTTCTTCCACTTTCGTTGATGACAACAATTTTCTTTTCTTCCAAGTGGGCAGCCTCCTCCTCTGTTGCTGATCTAAAGGACAGATCTTATCTGCTCATCCTCTACCCTTTCCTGGGTGGAGCCGTCACTCTCTCATGTGATGCCTAATGAGATTTAACTAATTGCCGTCTCTCTTCCATGGCATTTACTTGGAAGCCTATTTTTAACTCTTAAGGGCAAGGCTTGCTTTTAAAAATAGTCCGCTAATACCTCTGGTGAATAAAGTCCCCTTCTTCACTGAATGGTGGAAAGCCAGAGAGTCGTTTTTGGCTGCAGCATGAAATAATGACCAGACACTTCTGTTCTGACAGCCTTTGATGAGAAGACTAAGGAGATTTCATCATATCCTTGAAGGAGGAGGAAAGGCTAGTAATACTCAGCTTTGTCAGCCTTTCCACGGAAACAACAAAGTGACAGGACAAGTGAAAAAAGGAAAACAGTGTTTTTTAAAAAGTGCTGTTCTGTGGGTGGGTGACAGACTGCTTGACAGACTTTCCTTCTCCATTTTTTTTCTTATCGCTGTGTCCTGCCGGCCAAACTGAAGCACAGCCTTTTCCTTTACCATTTCTAGATATACCCAAAAATAGGTTTTAAGTCTTTGAGGGGCTGATGTTGCCCCTAAATTATTTATTTATTTATTTACAGCATTTATATACCGCTTTTCTTACCTCGAAGGGGACTCAAAGCCGTTTATCACAGGAGCCTATAATTCTGCTGTAATTACTTTATCATTGATAGTGCATACATACTACACTGATCATATTCAATATTGCACCTCTCTTCAATTACGACGATTCTCCTATCTGTGATACCAGGCTCATGCTTACTCACACTCTCAGGACCACACTTTCCACATTATTTCTGTTCTTTATTTGTTATATACTGTATCACATTTTATTTATATTCCGCTCTCTCTCCCTGAGGGGAGTCAGAGTGGATTACAACATACATAGGTAAAAATTCAATGCCTTTAATAACAGAGACATAACAATGACACAAATACACATACACACGAACAAATGTCAGCGTGCTGGAAGAAGCAAAGACCACCAGCATTGAAGCGATGGTCCTCCGCCATCAACTTCTCTGGTCCGGATGCCTGACTACCTTCTCCCAAAGTAGTTGCTCTACTCCAAACTCAAGAACGAAAAACAGAAAGTTGGTGGGCAGGAAAAGAGATTTAAAGATGGGCTCAAAGCCAACCTTAAAAGCTCTGGTATAGACACTGAGAACTGGGAAGCCCTGGCCCTTGAACGCTCCAGCTGGAGGTCAGCTGTGACCAGCATTGATGTAGAATTTGAAAAGGCACAAATGGAGGGTGAAAGAGAGAAACGTGCCAAGAGAAAGGCACATCAAGCCAACCCCGACTGGGACCGCCTTCCATCTGGAAACCAATGCCCTCACTGCAGGAGAACATGCAGATCAAGAATCAGGCTCCACAGTCACCCAGTACACCAATCTTGAAAGACAATCCTACTTGGACAATGAGGGATTGCCTAAGTAAGTAAGTACAAATACACAGAACAAAGGTAAAGGCTTCCCCTTCCATCTGCAGCTTCTGGAGGCAGTGCTCAACTCTGGCCATGGGGAGGTGCTCCTTTCCCATTTCCAAGCCAAGGATCCTGTTTTCCGTAGACAACCTCCTGGTTGAATTGCCGTCACAGTTGCATGGGTACCTTTATTACCTCCCCATCGAAGCAGTACCAATTGATCTATTCACATTTGCATGTTTTCAAACTGCTAGATTGGTAGGAGCTAGTGCTAACAGCAGGAGCTCACCCCAACCCGCTGCTTTGAACTGCAAACTGTCCAGTCAGCAGTTCAGCAGCACAAGGGTTTAACCCATCGTGCCAACCGCAGCTCCTTGTACTTATCATTTTAGTACAATTGCTCAATTCCAGTGTTTAAAAACAAATAAAAGGGCAAATACAAATATAAATGAAAGGTAAATGACCAGCTTGGGAATAGAGAAGTGGAAAATAAGGAGAATCCTGCCACCTTATGTCATGTTGTTGCTGACATGCTGGCACAAAAGGCGAAGGGACTCATTCATTGAAACAAGGCAGATAAAAGGAACCTTATAGATTGGGAATTATTGATGGGTTTTATCAGTTAATTCTAGGGATGGGTGAATTGCAAAAGGTGGGGGAGAAACCAGCAGCTGTTTGCTTGCCTTGTGCCATAAAGGGTCCTTCCACACAGCCACATAACCCTGAATATCAAGGCAGATAATTCACAATATCTGCTTTGAACTGGGTTATCTAAGTCCACACAGCCATATAATTCAGTTCAATGTGGATTTTATACAGCTGTGTGGAAGTGGCCTAAGATGAGATACATATAGTCTACTAATGATTATTTGTGGTGAAGCCCTAACATTTGAAACAAGACAAAAGACAAAATGGACAGATTTGCTCATGTTTATAATGGTTTTCCTGTGGTATTGACCAGGCTCAGGTTGCATGAATTTGTTGGTGGTGATTTCAGGTTTAAATGATCATACTGTAGTGAATGGTACGTACCCTCCTGGTATTAGATTATCTTTATTGCTTTCATTTCAGGCATTTGAGAGAGGAAATGGGATATAAGTGCTGTGTCTAGATGTTTGCAATATCATTAAAATATGTTCTTCTCTAAGAACTTTCTAAGGCCCGTTTCACACAGCTGAATAAAATCTCACAATATGTATTTGGAACTGGGATATATGGCAGTGTGGACTCAGATCACCTAGTTCAAAGCAGATATTCTGGGTCATATGGCTGTATGGAAGGACCCATGGTCTTCCAAACAATTTGAAAGTATGCTTCTGCCAGAGATTATCATAGAGTCTCTCTAGAGGACCTAGCAATTTTTTTTTTTAGCAGGGATGCATTAAATAGGAATTTTCTAGGCTTCAGCATGACTTGATGAAAGCTGTTCATTTCAGTAGAGCTCAGGGCCCTTCTACACTGCCATATACAATCCAGATTATCTGCTTTGAACTGGCTTATAAGGCAATGTAGACTCATATAACAAGTTCAAAGCAGTTTGATAATCTGGATTATATGGCAGTGTAGAAGGGGCATTACGGTTCCTGCAATTTCTTCTTTTCACGGATAAGTCCAGGAATGTATTCCCTGCAGTTACAAGGGTTTTGTGCTGTATTTCATAATTTCCCCCTTTATTTGTCTTTATTTCTGATCTATATGCTATTTGACCTGCATATCAACCAAATGCTAAAACCTGCCACCAGGTGGTGCTTTATTAGTTCTATAGGACCGCACAAAACTGGAACGAAAGAAGCCTTCCAAATAAATCTGGAAAAATTAGCAGCTCACAAAATAGTTACGTCTTCATCCTATCTACGTTTATTTTCTTGAAGTTATTTGTGGCACATATGGAGGACCTGAAAGACAAAATGGACAGATTTGCTCATGTTTATAATAGTTTTCCTGTGGTATTGACCAGGCTCAGGTTGCATGAATTGGTTGGTGGTGATTTCAGGTTTAAACAAAGCGAAGACCTCAAAGAAGACAAAGAAATATATGGCAGGTACACTTCTCCCTCCAAATATTTGGGAGGCATGTAACTTGGGTAGCATGTGTGTGTGTGTGTGTGCATTGGCATATCTTTGTTCCTAACAGCTCAAAGATATTTAGGACATCAGTTAAACAGCCGAGGAACCTAGTTGCCTTGCACAATGCTGGTGAATGCCATTTTCCCAAAAGGTTATGACTCTAATCATAGAAGCATAAGAGTTGGAAGAGACCTCATGGGCCATCCAGTCCAACCCCCTGCCAAGAAGCAGGAATATTGCATTCAAAGCACCCCTGACAGATGGCCATCCAGCCTCTGTTTAAAAGCTTCCAAAGAAGGAGCCTCCACCACACAGAGAGTTCCACTGCTGGACGGCTCTCACAGTCAGGAAGTTCTTCCTCATGTTCAGATGTAATCTCCTTTCTTGTAGTTTGAAGTCATTGTTTCGCGTCCTAGTCTCCAGGGCAGCAGAAAACAAGCTTGCTCCCTACTCCCTGTGACTTCCTCTCACATATTTATACATGGCTATCATATCTCCTCTCAGCCTTCTCTTCTTCAGGCTAAATATGCCCAGCTTCTTAAGCCGCTCCTCATAGGGCTTGTTCTCTTGATCATTTGAGTCGCCCTCCTCTGGACACATTCCAGCTTGTCAATATCTCTCTTGAATTGTGGTCCCCAGAATTGGACACAATATTCCAGGTGTTCATGCTTTTTACCAAGAGGTTATGGCATTGTTTTTCAAAAGGTTGTGACTTCTAACAAGGTCATGCCTTTCCAAATATCATAAAATCTCTGAAAATGTTAAATTTGAAGTCCAGTAATATCTGGATTGCTACAGGAAGCCCTCTCTGGCTTTAGAGATCCATGTGCCGTGGCGGTTCCCTCACCAAAGAACCTTTTAAAGGAAGGCTTTACAAACAGTCTTCTCTTCTATACACAACAGTAGGATGGCGAAGGATACAGCTTAGGGAGCAGTTCAAGGGCTGCATTTCTAGACTCCCTTCTTCCTATTCCAAGACAGATTTTTTTTAAAACAAGCGTGGAGTTGGCATTTCATCACATTTAAGAATCAAAATGAGCAGAAGTGTGAAAGGATCATGATCAGGGCAAGCGGAGACGCAGCTGCGTTTCTCATTTATCACAGCCCTGTCTGAACCTTATAGGGTTGGGAATGCAAGAAGGGCCCTTTGGGGATGGGAAGGTGCTTCCAGATGCAGCTTTTCTTATCACTCTACCTCATTCATCGACTTCTCCTTGAGGTCCAGACACCATTGTCTTCAATGAGTGTTTCTTATTGTTTCATCCATTATTATGGAGCCCCCAGTGGCGCAGTGGGTTAAACCCGTGCTGGCAGGACTGAAGTTTGACAGGTCGCAGGTTCGAATCTGGGGAGAGCGTGGATGAGCTCCCTCTATCAGCTCCATCTCCTTATGTGGGGACATGAGAGAAGCCTCCCATAAGGATGAAAAAACATCAAAACATCCGGGCGTCTCCTGGGCAACGTCCTTGCTGACGACCAACTTGCTCACACCAGAAGCAACTTGCAGTTACTCAAGTGGCTCCTGACATGACCAAATAATAATAGTAGTAATAATAATAATAAATCCATTATTATTTTTCTTACCACAGAGTGCACGAAAGAAGACAGTGGAGCATTGCATAAAAGTGCCACTCTCTTGTGAAAAGTAGACTTCTGTCTGGAAACTGGAGTGTTATGTGGTTTCCGGGCTGCATAGCTGTGTTCTAGCAGCATTTTCTCCTAACGTTTCACCTGAAGATCCGCTGAAGACGCCAGGCACAGACGCAGGCAAAATATTTGTGAAAAGCATGACCTTTGAGATCATAGGAAAAGGTTTTCCCCTCACATGAAGTCCAGTCATGTCCGACTCTGGGGTGTGGTGCTCATCTCCATTTCTAAGCTAAAGAGCCGGTGTTGTCCATAGACACCTCCAATGTGATGTGGCCAGAATGACTACATGGAGTGCCGTTACCTTCCTGCTGGAACAGTACCTATTAATTTACTTACATTTGCATGTTTTCAAACTATTAGGTTGGCAAAAACTGGGGCTGACAGCGGAAGCTCACACCGCTCCCTGGATTCGAACCTGCGACCTTTCGGTCAACAAGTTTAACAGCTCAGCGATTTAACCCACTGTGCCACCGGGGGCTCCTTTGAGATCATAACCTTTTGGAAAACCAGAATTTCCAAAGCCTTTTGGAAGCGTGACTAAGCGTTTGCACAGTGATTCTCAGCACAGCGATTGATTTCTCAGTGCAACAATGAACAATACAAATGGCAATTGGAAAGGTTCCTGGCATATGTTTTCGGATTGTGTGATTTTAAGTAATTATTTTAATCGACATGTTTTAATTCTGTATTTATTTATCGTGTCATCAGCAACCAGACATTTTTAACAAAAACAAAACAAACAGACAGAACACAGAATTTGCAAGCTTGGTAGTTGATTAAATGTCCTTTGACCAGTATCTGGCCACTTGGAGTGCCCCTGGTGTTGCCGCAAGAAGGTCCTCCATTGGACATGTGGCAGGGCTCAGGTTGCATTGCAGCAGGTGGTCAGTGGTTTGCTCTTCTCCACACTCGCATGTCAAGGATTCCACTTTGTGGTCCCATTTCTTAAGTTTGGCTCTGCATCTCGTGGTGCCAGAGCGCAGTCTGTTCAGCGCCTTCCAAGTCGCCCAGTTTTCTGTGAGCCCAGGGGGGAGTCTCTCATTTGGTATCAGCCATTGGTTGAGGTTCTGGCCTGCCACCTTTGGACTCTCACTTGCTGGGGTGTTCCAGCGAGTGTCTCTGTAGATCTTAGAAAACTATTTCTTGATTTAAGTCATTGACGTGCTGGCTGATACCCAAACAAGGATGGGCTGGAGATATCTCTGCCTTGGTCCTTTCACTATTGGCTGCTACTTCCCGGCGGATGTCAGGTGGTGCAATACCGGCTAAGCAGTGTAATTTCTTCAGTGGTGTAGGGCGCAGGCACCCCGTGATAATGCGACATGTCTCATTAAGAGCCACATCCACTGTTTTAGTGTGGTGAGATGTGTTCCACACTGGGCATGCATACTCAGCAGCAGAGTAGCATACTGCAAGGGCGGATGTCTTCACTGTGTTTGGTTATGATCCCCAGGTTGTGCCAGTCCTGTGATTTTAATTCTGTGATTTTAAAGTATATGTTGTTTTATTTTTATATGTATTCAAGGCATCGAATTGTGCTTTTGTTGTGAGATGCCATAAGTCCCCTTTGGGGTGAGAAGGGTGGGATATTAATGAGGCAAATAATAAAATAATAATTAATTGGCATTCACTACCATTTGGAATAATCATAACCCTTTTGTAAAGTATAATCTCCCTGAGAAGAGTTAAATTTTCTCTTTAGTAGAAAATATCCACTAGTATTCATGCAAGACAATTAGGTTTCTCAGTTGTTAGACTGATATACCTGGTTATCTCTTTGAACTGTTAGGGATAAAGATAAAATATATAGCAGATCTTCAGAAGTGTTGTTTCAGTTGCCCAAAAAAATCTACTCTCTCATAAAATATATTTGGTTTTAAATCATCCTCTCAAGAGACAAAAATAAGTAGTTTTCGTTAAAATAACATAGCTGGTTTACTTACAACTTCATGTATTCAGCATACAGGTGTATTGCTTTTGAGTTGAAAGTTTAAACAGTAACTTCTCAAAGGCATTCTGCTGCAGCCTCTTCTCTGTCTTGTGTCTACTGCACAAGGAACTCACTCACTCACTGACTGCGCTTTTGCCTGCCCGCCCCTTTGCTTCTCTTTACTCCAGCGGGGCGTTCTCTTCCCACCCTCTGCGGAAACCCTGCCTTGCGATTGGACGCCAGCGCCGGGAGAGCGCCTCCTCCTGGCATTCCCATTGGCCCGCGCCGCTGACGGACACCTTGGTTGCAATGGGCTTGTAAAGGGGGGTCTGCTCCTGAGAAGCTGGGAGCCAAAGGCAGAAGGCGCGTCGCCCCTGGAGCGCTGCTGCAGCCATCATGGGGGTGGAAGTGGAGACCATCACCCCAGGAGACGGTATGGGGCCCAGCTCCCATTGCTTTGGCTGGGGAGGCTCTTTGGGGTTGGGGGAGAGGGTGCTGTGGCTTTGGGGGACAAGGAGACCTCTGCGCATGCGCGCCCCCTTTCAAATCTGATGGGGAGGCTTGTCTTTGCAAGGGCAGTTCTGCAGCAAAGGCTCCTTGAGGCTGTGTGTGGCCCCAATACACTGCCATTTAAAATCCAGATTGCTTTAAACCGGATTATATGGCAGTGTAGATTTAGGTAATCCATTTCAAAGCAGATCATGTAGATTATCATTTGACATTTTGGATTATATGGCAGTGCAGACTCAGGTAATCCAATTCAGAGCAGATAATATGGATTATTGGGTTTGATAATCAGGATTATATGGCAGTGTAGACTCAGATGATCCATTTCAAAGCAGACAATGTAGATTATCAGATTTGATAATCAGGATTATATGGCAGTGTAGACTCAGATAATCCATTTTAAAGCAGACAGTGTAGATTATCTGATTTGATATTCTGGATTATATGTCAGTGTAGACTCAGGTAATCCATTTAAAGCAGATAATGTGGATTATCTGATTTGATATTCTAGATTATATGGCAGTGTAGACTCAGGTAATCCATTCAAAACTGATAAAGTGGATTATCCAATTTGATAATCTGGATTATATGGCAGTGTAGACTCAGATAATCCAGTTCAAAGCAGATTATGTGAATCATCTGCTTTGATAATCTGGGTTAGATGGCAGTATAGAAGGGGTCTGTATCTGTGCTTCTCAAACCTTTGCCAAGCGCATTGATGGTGCAGCTGCACTGTAGAATTGATGCAGTTTCATACCACTTAGATTACCAACTGTCATAGATCAGTTCTATCTAATTCTGGTAATTGTAGTCTCTCAAGGCACCAGCACCCTTTGGCACAGAAGGCTCAAGACCTTGGGAAACTACAATCCACAGTGCTGTGGAATCTGGGGGATTGTAGTTTCCCAAGGTCTTTAGACTTCAGTGCCAAAGGATGCTGGTGCTTCATGAGACTACAACTCCCACAATTACATAGCACTGATCCATTATGGTCGAATGGGTATCAAACTGCATCAGTTCTACAGTGCAGATGCACCCAAACTTTTCTGCAATTGACAAAAAAGGACCTAGTTTCTTCATGGTGTTTTTTTTGGGGGGGGGGGGAAGTGTTGTGGGGATGACTGGAGACCCTTCTACACTGCCATATAATATCCAGTTTTTTTGTTTTGTACAGAATTATATGGCAGTTATTTATTTCATATCAAAAGTAAATTAGTATAAAACTGATAAAAATAGTAGGTGCGCAGGTGGCTAAATATCTTTTGATCAAAAACAGTCAACAGCAACGCATTGTCTGTAGCCTCCTCTGTATGTGAAGCAGGGCACAATGGACAAGCAAGCAAATGCAGAGTTGTCTGTTCTGCTCCACAGTCACACAAGGTGTGTGATTCTTTGAGGTATATGGGAGTGTAGACTCATAATCCAGTTTAAAGAAGATACTGTAGATTATTTGCATTGATAATCTGGATTATATGGCAGTGTAGAAGTGGCCTGGGTCTAGTGACTCCCCAGAGTTGGGAATGGATCAGGAATGGAGGCAAAGGTGGTAAACACAAGAACCCTTGCATATCCCTAATATAAATAGGAAAAATGGGAGGCAGGAGGTGCAAGTCTCTATCCAAAGTCAGTGATCTAAATGAGTGGAAAAGCCCTGGAGGGCTCTGCAGGATGAAGGGGCTGCAGCCCTCTTGCTTCTCTGGCAGCCGCCAGCGATTAGGGATATTTAAATGGCATTTGCTGACAGCTGCATAAATCCAAGCAGGGTGAATTGATTTAGTAGCAGGAGCAAATGGCAGTCCACTCTGCGCTTCCCTGCTTCCACTGTTCTGCAGACGGAGCTGGCACATATCCGACCACAATAACGTGAAGCAGGAGAACTTTTTCAGGAACCATAATGTTGATGATGGGATAAATGTCTGGTGGCAACGGTGGATGCAAACATCCATGTTGACGCATAGTGACTGGCTATTTCAGCCCGCTTCTTATTTATTTATTATTTTATTTATTTATTTATTTATTTACTTTGCTTATATACCACTGTATCTCAAGCCCGAAGGCGACTCACAGCGGTTCACAAACAGTAAAAACAGTAGAAACAGCAGTAGTTCCATACAACATATAACAATTGACTTAACACATTATCCATAAATTACCAATAAGCAATTACAATGCACAATTATTATGAAAAACAACTGTACCCAATCTTCTCATCATCCAAGCGTAGTCCAGGTTCGTCGTCCATTGTTCCATTCCTATGTTCCATTACCAGATTGCACTAAATTACTCAAACGCCTGCACAAACATCCAGGTCTTCACCTTTTTGCGGAATACCATTAGAGATGGTGCTAGTCTAATGTCCGTAGGAAGGGCGTTCCACAGCCGAGGAGCCACCACCGAGAAGGCCCTATCTCTCGTCCCCGCCAGCCGCGCTTGAGAAGCAGGCGGGATCGAGAGCAGGGTCTCCCCGGAAGATCTCAAAGTCCTGGTGGGTTCATAGGCAGAGATGCGGTCAGATAGGTAGCTTGGGCCGGAACCGTTTAGGGCTTTAAAGGCCAACGCCAGCACTTTGAATTCAGCCCGGTAGCAGATCGGTAGCCAGTGGAGTTGGCGCAACAGGGGGGTTGTATGCTCCCTGCGCTCCGCTCCTGTTAAAATCATGGCTGCCGAGCGTTGGACTAGTTGGAGCTTCCGAGCTGTCTTCAAAGGCAACCCCACATAAAGAGCGTTGCAGTAGTCTAAACGGGATGTAAGCAGAGCATGGACTACCGTGGCCAAGTCAGACTTCCTAAGGTACGGGCGCAGCTTGCGCACAAGCTTCTTGTCGCCTCTTTCACGGGAAGCAGCCACCTTGTTGATGCTGGCAGAATTTTCCTGATGTGTGTGGCTTAATTTTAGAATATCTTGGTCGGATTCCAAAGTGGAGAGCACCATGCTGGATTTAACCCAGTTCCTGGCACAGAGGAAGCATCATCATTGCTTTTTTTGCTCCTTTTTAAATAGTCATGCGACCCTGGCTTGAATTCAAAACCTGTGATTTCTGAATACAATTGCTAGCATGTGGACTACTTTTCAGAGAGTTTTAATAAAAAATGGATATTGCTATCCTCAATTGGGATGTACCTCATCCAGGTTCAGAGGTGGCATACCTGTCAATACTAGTTAGGGAATAATAGTGGGGGAGACCTATTGACTTTCTAGAAGGCATTTATTTGAAAAATAGGATGCTTGATTAAGTATCACATAGGGTGCATCTGCACTGTAGAATTAATGCAGTTTGACACTACTTAAACTGCCATGGCTCAATGCTATGGAAGCATGGGAGTTTTAGTTTTGTGAGGCACCAGCACTCTCGGATAGAGCAGATAGCAATATTACAACTGTGATTCCATAGGATTAAACCATGGTTGTTAAGGTGGTGCCAAACTACATTGATTTTACAGTGTAGCCACACCTATGGATCAAATCCTTGGAGACTTCCCTTTTGGATAGCCAAACAGCATTCGGTTTATTGTCAAAAGCTTTCATGGCTGGAATCACTGGGTTGCTATAGGTTTTTCGGGCTATATGGCTATGTTCTAGAAGCATTCTCTCCTGATGTTTCGCCTGCATCTAAGGCAGGCATCTTCAGGGGTCACAACCTCCGAGGATGTTTGCCATAGATGCAGGCGAAACGTCAGGAGAGAATGCTTCTAGAACATGGCCATATAGCCCAAAAAACTTACAACAACCCAGCATTCAGTTTTCTCACTTCCAGTTTTCTCAAGGAAAAAAGTCAGTGTCTTTTTGTACCACCTGCCAAGTAAGAGTCATTATTTATTTATGTATATTTTGAATTATTTATATCTAATCATTTCCAAGCAGCATTCAACAATGATAAAATGTGTTGTCGAAGGCTTTCATGGCCGGAATCACTGGGTTGCTGTAAGTTTTCTGGGCTGGATGACCATGTTCCAGAAGCGTTCTCTCCTGACGTTTCGCCTGCATCTATGGCAGGCATTCTCAGAGGTTGTGCAGTCTGTTGGAAACTAGGCAAGTGAGGTTTATATATCTTTGGAATGTCCAGGGTGAGAGAAAAAACTCTTTATCTGTTAGAGGCAAGTGTGAATTGGCCAGCTTGATTAGCATGGAATGGCCTTGCAGCTTTAAAGACTGGCTGCTTCCTGCCTGGGGGAATCCTTTGTTGGGAGGTGTTTGCTGGCCCATATTGGTTTTTTGTCTGGAATTCCCTTGTTTTCTGAGTGTTGCTCTTTATTTACTGTCCTGATTTTAGCGTATTTTAATACTGGTAGCCTGATTTTGTTCCTCACAACCACGGAGGATGCCTGCCATAGATGTGGGCGAAACATCAGGGGAGAATGCTTCTGGAACATGGCCATACATCCTGGAAAACTCACAGCAACCCAATAATAAAATGTACAGTATTAAAAATACGTAGAACCAATATACAATAACAACATGGCCTTACCTGTAGGCTTAAATTCCGTGATAGGTTGAACTACACTGGGAAGATTTGTAAAAATAGTTGTGTTTTCAACATGGACCTAAAATTAAGGATATCTGAAGGAAGAGTATTCCACCATCCTAAAAGCTCTGCCCTGAAAAAGATCACAAGCTTGGGCCACCATAAAGAGAGGCTTTCCAGATATCCTCAAGGACTGAATCTAAGAAAGTAGATAATGCAACCTCTCGGTACATGGTCTTGTAGGGGCCGTGGTGGCACAACGGGTTAAACAGTTGAGCTGCTGAACTTGCTGACTGGAAGGTTGACGGGTCGAAACTGCGGGACGGGGCGAACTCCTGCTCTCAACCCCAGCTCCTGCAACCTAGTAGTTCGAAAACATGCAAATGTGAGTAGATCAATAGGTACCGCTTTTGGCAGGAAAGTAAACGGTGCTCCATGCAGTCAAGCCAGCCACACATACACGGCGAATATTCAACACCATTACACAGACAGGACAGCAAAAGATAGAGGTATTTTTTAAGCATTTTCCTCAACTTCTGCGTCCTGGAGGTTATGTTCGATTCTGGCCACGGGGGGGGGGGGGTGCTGTCACTCCATCCTCTAAGAGCTTTGATCACAGACTTCCTCCTTCCTTTGATTGTTGGCATTTTCTGGTATTTCTTTTAAGATGTTGTAAAATACCTCCCCGCTAAAGCAGCGCCTAATTTCTCTAATTACAGATCACAGCTGTTTTCGAACTGTTTAGGTGTACAGTAAGCTGGGCTGAAGGTCAGGTGCTCACCCTGACCCCAGCTTCGAACTGCCAACCTTTTGTTTGGTAAGATGTATTGCTGCTGGTGATTAACCAGCTGTGTTAAAGCCCGGCCTTGTTATGTTCCAGAGTACTTTCACAACCCTACAGTAAATGATGCAAAAAGAGTGATTCTAAAGATGTGCTCCAGAATAATCTACAAAAGATATACACACAATCACATTCCAAGCAGACACAAAAAATTTCCCTGGATGGAAACCAGCATGGAAAATCACAATTTATACGCAGAAATAGCATCAATTGTATTGTTCTAACAGATGGTCTTTGACAATCATACTTGATTTCTTTGTTTTCTCCAAGCAATGCCCAAACCATTCTGTATGAGGGTAATGCTGAGAGAAACTATAGTTATGGGGCTACAGTCTTTTTGCCATCATATTGTTGATTCTTTGTGCGTTATTTCTCCATTCAGAAGCCAGACAATTTGTTTTTAACAAGAAATTTTTTTTAGCATTAACCTGTTATTTTATATTTTTTCTTGTGCAACATTAGGTATCAGCTTGCCGGCCCTGTATTTTGTCTCTTTCAAAAAAGAGATCATTTTAAAGTAGATGTTTAATGCATTTGAAGAAACATACACTTTTTATATTTTAACAGGTCGGACATTTCCAAAGAAAGGCCAGAGTTGTGTGGTCCATTACACAGGTAAGATCCATTACAAAAAGATTGTTGTTGTGCTTTCTGTAACATGTTAGATTACATTTTCAAATTAAACAGCATAGCTTTATTCAGTCTGCTGGCAGTGCCCCATATGTCAGTGTAATCCTACTTGGTTTTGCTGTTGATTTTCTGATTAATGTGAATGAAATATATCGGATCTCTTAACCCAAGCATGGATAAACTTCGGCCCTCCAGATGTTTTGGATTTCAATTCCCAACAGCCTAGCTGTCTGGGATTTCTGGGAGTTGAAGTCAAAAACACCAGGCAGGCTGAAGTTTTCCCATATTTGTAACCTAGCCTATCATCACTCCTTGCATCTCTCAAGACAGGACAATTTAAAGAGACTGGTGAATCAGAAAACAAACAAAAAACCCACAAAGTTCTGCTATTATTTTTGGAAAATTGCATTCGAAAACTTTTGGGAATCTCCCAAAAGTTTTATTCCTGTGAGAATTTTAGTGGCAACTAATCTCCTCTGAAAGTACATTATCAAATGTTGTTTCCATCAGTGGGTTGTGACAGCATACATCTATATAAATAAAAATGTAATGTTCATTTGTGGGATTAACATAACTCAAAAACCACTGGATGAATTGACACCAAATTTGGACACATTACACTGATCAGGCCAATGAATGACCATCACTTATAAAACACTGAAAAACACAGCAGAAGAGACTTAAAAAGCCAAAAAACAAAAACATATGTACAAAACCACACACACACATACACAAATATATACACACACATATATACATATATATACACACAAAACACATATGCACAGACTGGGCCACAGCAACGCATATATATACAGCAACACGTGGCAGGGGACGGCTAGTATGTGTTTGTGTGTGTGTATGTGTATGCCTACTTAGCGCAAAATGTGATCTTCAGAAGCCTGTAGAAGCAATTTGTTCACTTCACAGTCTCTGGTGAAGTCATTAAAATTTCCAATTTCGTTGGAAGCATTGTGAAGACAGCAGCCTGGATTTTGAAAGCTTGCTGAATTTGATTATTGTTCTACAGTTTGGTACTATCAGAATTTCCTTTGGAGATATTCCATGCCATTGAGCAGAGACAACTAAAAAATTGCTTGGCACTTGACATAATCTTGTCTCAGTAACTTAAAAGCCATCTCACATTTGAGAAAAAATTTGATGACATAAGATTGAGGGTCTATTTCCCATAGAGCAATATCTCTGTCTCTCTATATCACTCTGTCTCAGATATTGAGAGTAACCATTTTATTGAGGACCCTTCTTCATATTGATCTCCCCTCCAATCCCATTGTTACTTTGCAGCCTTTGCTTGCTTGCTCTTGCCATTACTAGTTGTACAGACTCAGCACAGAATTAATTTACTGTTAAGAAATTATTCATAAAATTTTATTGCATTTTCTAGGCTAGCACAGCACAGGGGAGGGCCTTGCTTTTTTTAATGCCCTGAAAAAATGAATTGTGTAGATACTATTTCAATGTGTACTGCTGAGATTGTTCAGATGAATTTCAGAAGAATGCCTCACTATTGATGTAGCTGGAGAGTAAGGGCCCTTCCACACAGCCCTATATCCCAGAATATCAGGGCAGAAAATCACACAATATCTGCTTTGAATGGGGTTATCTGAGTTCAACTGCCATATTTCCTAGTTCAAAGCAGATAATGTGGGATTTTGTTCTACTCCAATGGAAAAAATAAGAATGGAAAGGATAGTTAGGTGTGCTCATTTTCATTACAAATTTTTCTGGCACGTGGTATGATCTTATGTGCCATCTTCATGTACATTTCTATTGTTTTTATGAACAACCTTTTTTTTTTTTTTGAAAAACCAGTGTATTTGCACCAGGTAGTGCTGTAATTGCAAAAACTGGCAAAAGCAAAAGCCCCTCTGAAAATATGGTGACAATGATGATACCATTATTTTGACTTCAGGTGATGATGATAACAGGGCTGTCTAGATTATATGCTAGTATCCCTGTAATATGTGTGTGTGTGTACATACATACATATACCATACTTAATCCATTCTAAGGTGCCAATGAGCTGAGCTGTTGAACTTGCTGAACAAAACGTTGGGGCTGAATCCGTGTGAGCTCCTGCTGTTAGTGCCAGCTTTTGCCAACCTAGCAGTTCAAAAACATGCAAGTGTGAGTAGATCAATAGGTACAGCTCTGTCATGAAGGTAATGGTGCGCCATTCATACCAGCCACATGACCTTGGAGGTGTCTATGGACAACGCCGGCTCTTCAGCTTAGAAATAGAGATGAGCACCAACCCTCAGAGTCAGACACGATTAGACTTAATGTCAAAGGGAAACCTTTACCTTTACCGTAAGGTGCCAATGATTATGAGATGCACAGTAATTTCAGTACTACCAACAGTATAAAAAAAACTTTCTCTATATAAATAAAAAGCACTTGTGATTCTAAGACGACCCCATTTTCTGAAATGTTTTTGTGCATCTTAGAATCAATTAAATATACTATACATAATTTATTATTAACTACATATTTGAGCAGCACTATCCCAAATTACTTTACAAATATGTGATGGCAGTGGTTTCATCGATTGTGTGTCAGTGCAAGGCAGCTAGTGAGGGTGGATTTCCCTGCCAATGTATCTGTCAACAGACCCTTTAAGCTTCTTCAAAGCTTAAAGCTTAGTATGCTTGAGCTCGGATCAGTTTGACCAAAAGTGATTTGTAATATTTGGTGGTTGTTTTGTGTAATCCGCCGAAAACAGAGCTGGGAGGCGAGAACCGAAAAGCTGGGCAAAACGGATCAAGACACCCGGATTTATCGGCTACTGGAGAGGATGGAGTTAAGTCTGCATTATACCTGAGGCAGGCGTCTGCCGCGGGGCTTCAGGAGAAGATCCAGCAGCATCTTGCCTCAAAGTTCCCTAGGCTCCTCCTCCTCCTCCAGAGAGGTCTCTGCTGGGGACACGCTTTCCCAGCAGCACTCAGACTCAACTAGACTTAATGTCACGGGAAACCTTTACTTTTACTATGATTGAGTTAATAGGATCCTTTTGGATATGTCTTCCCACCCCCGTTATTGGTTGTTGTTATTATTTTGATGGCATTTATTTATACCCTGCTTTTTCTCTTGACAAGGAGACTCAAAGCGGTTGTGGCAGTTCCCACTCCTTGAAATGTGTTCTTTTATTTTAGAAACTCAAAGGTCTTGAACTCCCCTCATATATTTGCCATTATTCTTCAGGCAACATGGTCAATGTGTGCAAACTTACTCACTTTTTAAGATTAAAAAACAAACAGTCCTCACCATACTATTAAAACTCTGCAGCTACAGGAACAACTGTATCTGAACCAGACTCCAGGAAAGTAATGATTTTGAGTGTTTCTAGCACTATATATCAAAAGGCATTGTGCAGCTATTCTGCCTTTACCTCCATAATGAATTTTCTATGGCAATTTTTTAAAAGAGGAAGAAGTTGTGAAATAAACCATCAGGTTTGCAAGACTAAATTCAGCAAGATTATCTGAATGAGTCATGGTAATTGGAAGAAAGCTGCTTCATCTGCACATATCCAAGATCTCTGCCTTTTCTGAAAAGCAGAGGATGAAGTCTTTCTGTAAGTCATACTGTGTGCCTTTTGGCTCGTTGACTGTGACTGGTTGATTAACCGTGGTCTTTTTTTAGATCTCCATGTTGTGTTAGACACTGTAGATGAGCAAGGCAGTGCAGAGCAATTGGTCCCAATGCTATCATAAGGAGCAAGAAACGTGGAAGGCTATCCCTACAGAGAAGATATTCAGGAGTAGCTGCAAACAGATAACCACAGCTGATATTAAAACAAGGATTTTGTTCACATTTCTGGCATGAGATATGGACCAAGTACCAACTTGGATTTTGTTCTGGTTTGCTCCAGAGAAGGTGATTGTCCTCCTTTTTCTAGCAGAGGCCTTGTAGTTCAAAGAACAGCAACAGCAGACAGTAAATCAGCTGTGGTGTTTTGTTTATTCATTTTGAACTTGGAGAAGAAAATTGGATTTGATGTGTTAATTTGTAGTTTTGCAATGGGTGGAGAGAAAAAAATAAAGCTTTGAAATTAATTGGCTTAATCTTTCCAGCCAAATTGGCCCATTAGAATAGAATAACAATAACTGTGCCGTCACACCCAGATGCTATAACGTTAAAACTAAGATGTGCTTCTCTCTTTATCTGGGCGAACTGCTGGGGGGTCTTTCTTTAAAGCAATAACTCAATACTTTCAGCAACTGATGCCAGTCAAGATATGAAAATCAACAAAATATTTATTTCCAAAGTCCTTGGCAGACTTGGCACAGCTTGATAAAGTTACAACACAAACAGTCAATTTGAGAAACCATAGAGATGTTCTTTCTTTCCCCTTTTCTTCAGTTACTGAGGTAACATTTCTCCAAATGGTGGAAAAAATCCTGAGATATTTCACCCTAACCCTGAGCTGCTATGGTTACAAAGAACAGGTCTTTACCTATCTAAGCACAAGGTCAGTTTTGGAGATGAAGTAATGCTCAATAGTACTCAATAACTATTTCTCTCTATTTCTCTATTACTCAATTACTCAATTACTATCTTAATATCTCTCTATATATATCTATATATAACTCAATAAGCTTCTCTATCTCAATTGCCTTTCTTAATAACTCAATAGTATTCACAATGGGTTTTCAGAGCTCCCTGCCTGATCAACAGCACATCTGAGGTTCTTTTCTCTACTGAAAGAGATTCCAAAATGGAGCTCTCATACCCAGAAAAAAGGCGAACTCCAAACCCAAAGAGATACTTTCTAAACCAATAACTGCAGAGGGCCTGCAGCCTGGCGTTCCAGACTCTGATACTGTTTAACTTCCAGGGTGCTGCTGGGTCTATAGCAACCCTGGGGAAATGCAAAGGAATGCTATCCCGTGCAGCTAAAAGACAATGCAAACCAAGCTCCTGGAATACGGAACAATAACACTATGTTACAATATTTGAAAAAA